TTTGACGAGAGTTGTAAACTTTTGTTTTCATTGTGTAAAAGTCTTATAAAAAGACAATCTTTTTGATTTTGTTGTAACGACTAAAGTTGTAATGAATACCGCAATGAATACAAAAATTTTCGACGCAAACAAACTGGCGACCACAGTGGGAGACAACAGCTTCGCTTCCGGAGCTGTCGTGTCGCAACCTCGGATCTGCATCCCGGTTGAAGAAGTGGTCGAATACGAGTTCGACCAACTGAAGTTCGAGGAATATCTATCGTCTTCCTCCTCCAGATCCTCCGCCTCTCGCAAGCGAAGGAAGATCAACGCCCCCGTTGTTGCGCTAGCTGAACCTTACAACGCCCTTCCGGTCTCCAATGAGTCCGGATCTGCAGATCTGAACTCCTCCTCAATCAAGGAGTTGAGTACAGAAGGCGCGCCCATTTTATCGAAGATAGCTCGGCAAAGGCAGCGCCAACGCTGTACGCGCCAACTCGCTAGAGCCTTGGAGTCAATTGACGGGATCCGTTACGAGGCGGATCTGAAAATTAGGCAACGCCAAGCACCCCAACAGCGGACAGATGTCCTCCCCTCCAAACCAATAGCAAATGAATGGATCCAAATAAAAAAAGATTCGTTCAACTCTGGAGGAGCGAATTCAAAAGCGCTGCGCGCTTGCGCGCACGCGAATTCTTGTGCAAAAAGCACAAAAGATGCAGAAGAAGGACATAGCTAAGAAACAACCAAGACTGCATCAAACTTGGCACTATCACTCCCGTCTCCAAGAGCTCCTGAACTTGCTTCTTGATCTCTTCGGACTCCTGTATCGATGTGCGGTATAGGCCTATGTTTGGCAAGGAACTCTCGCCAGTCAACATAATCTCGTGCTCTACACCTCGCCGTGGTGGTAGTCCCGTGATTTCCGAAAACAAGTCCGCATACTTGGTCTTCAAACTGTCAAGATCTCCCTCCTGAAGCTTGCTCAATGTGGACAAGCATGTCCTACTCAGCTGTTCTTCATAAGGCTGAATGAACAATAACACGAACCTCCTGCCCGCATTTACCAACCTCTTAGCCTGAGTCACCGTCACCAAACTTGTCTCTTGCGGAAGAGATGTCGAACGAAAATAAATTGCGCGCCATCTTTGGTAAACGTATACTTTTGGGCCCACCGATCATATACCGTGTGTCTATCCCACAAGTAAGGATTGCCCAAAATAACCTGGTAAACATCCAACGGAACCACGTCGCATGTGACCTCATCAATATACGACTCATGGAGTGCAAATCAGAACGTACACTGGTTCACCATACTCAATCCCGCTTCCTTCTGAATCCACCCTAATGGATAGGGCTTCAGATGCCTCACCGTCTTCAATCCCAGCTTTTGTACCAACGCTTCAGGTATCAGGTTCTTCTGACTCCCTGTGTCTACAATGGCATCCACCAAGCTAGTCTTGACCTGCAACTTCAGAACAAAGAGTTGCTCTCTCGGGTCGTTGTCTTCTTTTGTGGCCTGTTTCCCTGCCATAAGGTTGAGGCTGTTGTTGGGCTCTGTCATCCCGGGAACCTCTTTCGGACCCTGTGCTATCACATACGCCTTTTTCTCCTCCTTCTTCTTCAACCCTTTTGGCTTTAGATGAGGGTACTTATCCCAGCAACGATCAGCCACGTGCCCTGTCTGCTTGCAGTGATTGCATGTCAATCCTGCCTTCCCTGAATCACCCTTCTTCTTCTCTTCCTTATGTTGAGAGCTACTCGACTTGTTTCCCGATTGTTTGGAGTCACCCTTTGTTTCGCTGCCCTTCTTCTGTTTTCCCTCAATGGCAATTGCCTTCACGCTCGCTTCTGCAATCGTCTCGACCGTGAACAGCTTCATCTCCTTACGGATGTAATCATTCAGTCCCGCCATGTACTTCATGAAGATGGAGTACTCGTCCGTTGCGATGTTTAGAACCATCGCCTGCTGCTGGAACTCCGTCGTGTACTCTTGAACGGTCTGATTGAATCTTTGGCGCAAGCCGTACCACTTGAACCAACGCTCCTCAAGGAACCCCACCGGATAGAACTGTTTCCTGAGTAGCTCCTTGAATTTGTTCCACGACGCTGCCTTCTTCTCCTGTTTGCAATAGGATTTCTACCACGTCAACGTGTGTCCTGAAAGCTTCAATGTCGTGAACACAATCTTCTCCTTGGAAGAATATCCGTAGAGGGTGAAGTACATCTCCATACGCTCAATCCAATCATCGAGCTTCTCTACATTGACACTCCCATCATAGACAGGAATCTCCACCTTGAAATCTATCTTTAAATTTTGGTAATTATTTTTACCCCCTTGATGTCCAGCAGCCCTAACAACCTCGGTTCCCCCGTCCGAATCAGACTTCTCGCTCTCTTCATCGGACTCGATGATTTTCTTCTTACCCTTCGAAGAAGATTCCTCTCTTTTGTCCCCTTTGTTAATGAGACCCACGAGCTGACTGAGCGTCGAACCAATCGTCTCGATCTGCTTCTCCATGGCATCAAGTCTTGTTGAGTTATCTGTTTCAAACATATTCTCCTTCCTTAACTCTTGGGCTCCTTCCAAGGAAGTAAGGATCTCGCCAAGCTCCTTGTATTGCGAACGAGTCAGGACCATGCACAGGATGCCCCATTCGTAGGATCTGATTGCTCTGATACCAACTTGATACGAGTTGCCGTGCGAGCACCTTTGATCGCGGAATTATCAAAGGTGGGTAGAGGAGAAAACAATAAGAACACAAGAATAACTCAGGTTTTGGGTGAAGGAAAATACCTTCTCTAGATTATGAGTATGCAATTTACAATCTCTCACAATCTCACTCTAGAATTGAAGAACAAGCTCTCCAAATCTCAATCTAGAATCTAATCTCTCTTGATTAAACTCTCTGACCTAAAAGATGTTTTGAAACCCTAAAATAATCCCTTATATAGGTGTACAAACGTGGATGGCAATTTGGTAAATAACCAGACCCAAAACCAACAGGAATTCGTGTGAACAGAATCCCAAACGAACCAGGAAACCCTCGATGAGTCGACTCATGACTGAGATGAGTCGACTCGACAGAAACTGGAGAAATCTCAATAACCAGCGATGAGTCGACTCATGACAGTCATGAGTCGACTCAACCTGATGAGTCGACTCATAACAGTCATGAGTCGACTCACAGGCTGAAAACTGGGTACTTCGATTCTTCTGCTCGTCGTCTTGTTCCACGCTTCCTCCTGTGTTCCCTTATTCTGTTTGACACCCCCTATTCTCATGCTAGTATGAGAATCATCTATCCTCAAGCTCCCATGAGGATCGCTAAGTTCCGAAGAGAAGATACACCCGTATCATGTGTCCCCTCTTGGAAACAGCCAGGACTTCTGAATGTCAACAGACAAGCCATTTCACTTAAGCCTAAAACCCATATTGCAAGTATCTTGTATACCTCTGTCTATTTCCTTCGAATGCTCGATGACTATAAATCAAGGAATCCAGAGTAACAAGGCGAGTAGGTCACGAAACCATCCGGATCATTTCCTTTCAAGGTGCACAGTTCCATGATATTAGAAGTTATAAAGTTGTAAGAAAAGAGCTTCTCGTCGTTGATTATAAAAATAACATTTGAATCTGATTGAAGTGCCGCGATCTTGCATCTATAATATATATTAGGAGACAACCAGGACAAATTTGCACATGATTTGCTTGCGGACGCGATCTTGCATCTATAATATATATTAGGAGACAACCAGGACAAATTTGCACATGATTTGCTTGCGGACCCTTAACTTTAAAGCTCCATTGGTTTGTATCATAATCCATCAAATCCCAAACAATTATTTCATATCTATTTTCCAGTGCACAGCGCAAGTTATCTTCAAATTGTTCAAAGCATTGTCGGAAACATTCTTTGAGGTTCTCAGAACCTGGTACCTTGATTTCTTGGAAAGCTTTCTTCTCGATATCCAATGCTGCCACTATAAAGCAGTGGTGCGTCCCAGTTACGAAGGTTTTTTTCACCAGTAAGTAGATATTTCCATGAATGAAGACTGAAGAAAGAGTAGCACACGAAAACTGAAGAGTAGCACACGAAAACTGGATGATCAAATCCCTTAAAATCCTTGTACTTCACCCACTCAGCGTGTCTCAGACGATAAAACCTCCATATAATCAATTTTCCAATTAGATAAAGAAATCGTCATGACCTTGTAATGAGGAGCGATACGGGGATCAAAGGCTAATAGTAGTTGCCAGGAACAAGTAGGTGCGGGTATCTTGTCATATCTCTTTGTGGCAGGGTTACATACATAAAGGCAGTCATCAGGTTTTGAGTATGTCCCCAAACTTTCACACAGGATCAAACCATTGCACGAGCTTAGGAAATTTAATTTAGAGTGTTGTGGTAAGCAACTAAGGACAGTGCTGATATCTACGCCAGTAGCGGGCGCTTTCTCATTGACCTGTGTGCTAACATAATCTGCGTAGTATACCCTGTCCTAAGGAGAGTAATTGGTCCTAAGGACAGTAATTGACGTAGCCTGAGGTGTAGAAGAGGCCGGACATGGTCGTTGGTAGCTTCTTGCGATAGTAATCGTTGATCGTGATGATGGCGTGCCAAGATTTACAAGCACAGGCGAAGCGATGGAGAGATCTGACAGGTAGTCGCGAGAAAATCTCAGATCATCTGTGAGTCTTGTTGCGCTGGGGTAATGTTCACTGACCATTGCGGTATCATATGCAACCTCTCCAATCTCCAGGCTTGGTTGCTTCCTCGTAAAGGAACCTTGACCTACCAAATGTGACTAAAACTCTGACTTGGGCGCAACCAAAATTGATTAATAACTTCTTCTGACTCCCAAATTTTACTAATATGAAATCTCCCGAACTCGTTTCTTCTCAGCCTCTTTTTCCTCTCCAATCCTGATTATTCTTAATAAAGAGGTTTTTTTTAGTATGTTTGTTTTCCATATTTTCACGTCTTTAATAAAAAGGTAAATTCAAAGGTAAACTCCACTAACAAATTAAATCACCCAAATCCTCATAAAAGCAACGTCACTAACCTTTGACGTTTAAGATAACATCTAAGCATTTGAGATTCAAATCCCATCAAATAGCTTTCTACTTCAAAAACAACATTCAAACTTAGAACTCGCCCATTAGCAACGAGTCGGTTTATTCAAATACCACAACAAACTAAACACAAACAATCTCTTTACTAAGCGGAAGCCTTCCACTTAGCCTGAAGCATCTTAGCAACCTCCACAAGCCTGTCAGTCTCCGGCATCACCTCCTTCACCGCCTCATCAGCACAGAACCGCTCGGCCCATGCAGCCAACAGTGGCGTCTTCTCTACAGTCAATAAGTCGACGCCTGTCATCTTCTCAGTGGCTCTGATCCAGCCCAAGTAGCATCCCAGGGCGATGTCAAGGGACCCGATGGTTTCGCCACCGAAGAAACCCTGGCCTTTGCTGCAGGTTTTGAAGGCCTCTTCAAGGAGTTGGAGGGATGTGCTGGCTTGGGAGCCTGCTTCTGTCTTGGCTTCATCTGTTTGCGCCATCAGTGTTGCTTTCATGCAAGGGAAAATCTAGTGGGAAATGTGAAAATAAGAGGCGATTTAAAAAAATCAAATATTTTTGGAGCAAACTAAGTTGTGATGAAGGATTAAGGATATGAAAGCTTTATATTAAGTGTACGTGAATTAAAATATTAATCCAACTTGATTTGTGTATTAATTTTCTCGGTGGAGGTCCCTCATGTATTGCTCAAATATCATTTGGGTTTTATGCTAAGTCTTCAATGGAGGTCCCTATTCCTAGACGTGTCATTTAAGTGACACGCAACCTTATAATTTCACTAACTTTTTTGTTGGCATGTTAGTGACGTCACTGACACATCAATAAGATTTATTGGAGGTGCAAAGAAGTCGTCTCGCATCTCTTCTATAGTTTAGAGTTCGGTTTGGAAAAAGGCTTTTAGTGGGATTTAGTCCCACATCGGATAAAGAGTAAGATTGACAGCTAGTTAAATATGCTTAGACCCAATAAGGGTTAGTCCGTTTGAGTCAATTGGGTCCGATCAAATTAGCATAATCTAATCTCCTAATGAGCCTTGCCAAAACCCTAACAAACTGCTATTAGAGCTCATGGTTCGATGCGGTTTTGTTGGATGCACTTGTTCATGATTAAATATGCTTAGACTTATTAACCAATAAGAATTAGTCCATTTGAGTCAATTGGGTCCAACCAAATTAGCCAAATTCATCTCCTAGTGAGCCTTTGCCAAAACACTAACAAATTGCTATTAGAGCTCATGGTTCGATTGGGGCTTTGTTGGATGCTCTGGTTGATTCAATATTCTGTTACATGAATTACAGCCCAAGGCGGACTAATAACCCAATAAGAATTAATCCTTTTGAGTCAATGGAGACCAAGTATCAGCCTAATTCATCTTTTAATGTGCCTCGTCAAAACCCCAACACGAAGTTTATACAAATGACCTATGCTAATGATGGAGGGACTCCTATTGATGATTTCCATGTTGTGCGCAGCGGAAATTTCGGCAGCACCTTCGGTGCACAAGGTGCACAACAAGAGATTAGATCGTAAGAATTCCTTTTAAAGATCTCAGTTCACGAATCAACAGTGTTCGCACTGCACTTTTCATATGTAAATATTCCTTTTAAAGATAAGGAAAGCATGATGCTAGATTTATTTTACATAATTTCTTATGATATCCTCAGAGAACAATAGAATAGTAAAAGCCTAACCAACTAGCCTAGGTAAAAGTTCTTCAGCACAATTTTTTTCCCCTTTTGGCAATTACAGCAAAAAAAAGGGTAAAAATCCATTTGGTCGAAAGGTCTTGTGTCCAAAAAAATTTCATGCTATTGGTAGCTTTTGTGCAGAAGGTAAGGCTAAGTTCCATAAGATAATACCCCCAATTTTTTTTTTTTTAAAAGATCGAACTACATGATTAAATCAATCCATCAAAATTTTCAAAGAAAATCCTCACAGTAGATTAAATCGATGTACACACCTTATCATCAATATACACAGCCCAGAAGCGTGCGACAGCGCGATCATACGGATCAGCCGGCAAAATTGCAGGCTTTCCATCAGCCCAAGCCTCATCAATGTACTCAACAATGATCATCGACTCATTAACAGGCTTCCCGTTGTGAATCATCACAGGTATCTTTTTATACACAGGGTTCGACTTCATCAGCAACTCGCTCTTCGCCCCCAAAACTTCCTCCAGAAACTCGTACTTCACTCCCTTGAGGTTCAGCGCTATCCTCGGCCTCATCACAAATGGGCTCGGCCATGCTCCCAGTATCTTCACCTCCTCCTCAGCCATTTTCGGGTAGCTTGAAGTTGAGTTGCAGGATATTGATGGCGTTATAAAGGAGAAGGTCGGGCTGAGTTTTTTTTGTGGACTAGTTTTTTCGGATGGATTAGGTGGATGGAAATTAATGCATGTTATTAGTAATTGGTGTGGACACGGTAGATGGGTGGAACTTGTGGAAGAAGCTGAGAGTTTCGCAGGCGATGGGGATAGTCTAATAATTGAACGGGGAGATCCAACGAGACAATAATGGGTCAACATTTTGATTGTTTACAGAGCCATGTGTGTGAATACTCCCCTGCTTTAGCTAAGAGCATGTGCAGCAAGCTTTCAGTTGGGAGTCCTAGTCAGCATGCTCTCAAGAGCTCTCAAGCATTTTAGAATAAAAAATTAACAAATTAAGCCTTGGGAGGCACTCATTCTTTTATGGAGCTCCAACAAGCTCCTAGTTAGGAGCTCCAACAATATCAAAAAAACCCCTCTTCTATTTTAATATTTTACCCATTACTTTTAATTATATTTAAACCTCTTGTATTTTATTTCTAACCGTTGGATACGGCCGTCAAATCAAATCCACGCCTCTTCATCTCCCGTGTCAAAGTCTCTATTTTGCCGAGGACTTGCCGATCGGAGCTCAGGCCTTGCCGATCGGAGAGGGGACTTGCCGATCGGAGATGGTCTATCAGGTTAGAACCGGTCAAAGTCACTATTTTGATTAATCGAGCATTCTTCATTTTGGAAAAGGTTGGATTTTTTGCTTCCTTTTTGGGCAAATTTTGATCACTCTACAATTGTGTTTTTGTAGGGGGGTGGTTTTGTAAATCTTGCACAGCTTGGGAGCTCCCAAGCGCTCCACAAATTTGTGGAGCGCTTGGGAGCTCCCAAGCTCTCAATGTCCACGTCAGCCTAAGGAGATGGCTTGGGAGCTTATTGGGAGCTTGTTAGAGGGCTTGCAAACTCTCCCACCGCCACATAGGCCTTGAGAGGGGGTGCAAGGAGCTTGCTGCCCTTGCTCTAACATCGTGAAGGCTTCTTCTCCTAGTCTATGGACAAATTTTCGAAACAGTCCTATTTGGACTTTTATTTGCAAAAAACGATCCGTTTCGAAGTTAATTTTAAAACCCGACTTAATTTTAAAAACCGACCTGGTTTCAGCCCTGTCGCTGAAACCATGTCGGTTTCTAAAATTTTTTTTTTTACGAAATTTCGCGGGAGTTGAACTCCCGTGAAGTTTAGCATATTTTTAAACTTCGCGGGAGTACAACTCCCGTGAAGTTTAATTTCTTAAATAAACTTCACGGGAGTTGAACTCCCGTGAAGTTTTATTCAGAGAATAGACTTCACGGGAGTTCAACTCCCGTGAAGTCTGTTAGAGTATTAAAATCTCCACGGAACGCTACAAATTACAATCACAAATGACATACAAAAACAAACACAGAACGAAACCGTTACAAATTACAATCACAAATGACACACGTAAACAAACACAGAACGAAACCACTACAAATTACAACATCAACGTCTAATCCTAGCTGGACAAGTATTTTTGTTATGGCCCGGTTGAGTGTAACTCCCGTGGGTCACGGGACTGCGCCTTATATATTTCGTCCAAAACTCCACGGGAGTTCAACTCTCATGGAGTTTCAGTCACCAATTGTCAGTGAACCGATCTCTGGCAGTTGAGGACTGAAACTCTAAGGGAGTTGAACTCCCGTGGAGTTTTTTGCTCTCACAACAGACTTCACGGGAGTTGAACTCCCGTTAAGTTTGTTCAAGTTAAAAAACTTCACGGGAGTTGAACTCTTGTGAAGCTTATTTAAGAAATTAAACTTCATGTGAGTTGAACTCCCGTGAAGTTTAAAAATATGCTAACTTCACGGGAGTTCAACTCCCATGAAGTTTCATAAAAAAAAATTCAGAAACCGACCTGGTTTCAGCGACAGGGCTGAAACCAGGTCGGTTTTTAAAATTAACTTCGAAACGGGTTGTTTTTTTGCAAATAAAAGTCCAAATAAGACTGTTTCGAAAATTTGTCCCCTAGTCTATTATATGCCCATTGGCTTGTGCAATCAAATAGTAATTTCAAGTTAGAACAAATTATATGGTCAATACCCCACGAGGGTCTACCAGGATGGTTGGGTGGGTTTACTCTCCGCTGAATGGTTACAAATTCGAACACGCCTGTCGACTTTCTTGGAATTTGAACGGATACAAAGCGGGGCCTGAATGGTTAACAGATTCGATCACTCCTGTCGGCCCAATTACCAAGTAGTAATCTAATTAGCTTTGGCTAAACTAGCTATATATGGTCTTTAGGCTTACCAACTTTGGACCATGGCTAAATTTTATAAGTTGGTGTGGATGGAAATAGCCCGAAAGGCGGCTATCTAGTGCGTGAATGAGGATGACAGTAGACTTTTCATAGGGAAATCTACAGAGGGTCAATAAAAATCAATGACAAGTTTGATGTCTGCTAACACTTGGGGTGCAGAGAGACTTTGGAGGTCTCTCCCCATTGGTGGGGGTGGTTGTCTTGCTAATAGCCCAAAAGGCTACTACCTAATACCAACAAGAAACTGGGCCCCAATATTGTTTTAATAAGAATAGGAGAACGTAGTTGATCACGTATTAGAGTTGGGCATGAGCCGGGTCGACCCATAGGCTGACCCGGCCCAGCCTGTCATGTGTCACGACCTAGCTCATCCCATAGTAGGTTGAGCCTGAGCCAGCTTGGGTTCATATATATATATATATTTTTTAAATTATTAGCCTGACACAAAATCAGCCCATCTTTAAAATTAAAAACGTAAACATATTGTGTTGCTTGTTGGGTTGAAGAGTTAATGACTACTTTTTTTTATTTTGGCTATTTAGGAAACTTCTTCATATATTTGTATTGGAGGTTTTTCATAATGTCCTTTGTTTTGTATGTTTCTTACAAGGGCAACACTTATGGTGTTTGAATGAATACTGTTTTCAGGGAAAATTGATAGGTAACCCATTTTGCTTAATATGATAAGCAAAAGATAGTCTATTGATAAAATGAGAACCTCATTATTCATACATACTTATGTTTATTTTGTGAAATGAGATGTAACTAGTTGTAACTGAATTTTTTTTACAATAATTAGCGTATTTGCACATACAAATACATGTGAAATTAAAATTAATTTTTTATCTGAACAAATTTTTCTCTTAAATGATATTTATGTTATAAACACTCAATGTTTGTAACTTAATTATATGTATCAGTGTAGAAAATATGATTTAGCAATAAAATAGATACAAATAATCTCACTACATATTTTGAATTACATTTTTTATGTCATACATGATATATTTCAAAGTTTTAAATAAAGATATTATAATATTTAGTAGAACAAATATGAAAAAGTTCACGGTTAGTGGCATCCAATGAGTAATCGTATGATATAGTTATGTTTAAAGGAAAAAAGTTCATGCAATAGTTATTTCCTATAGATAGTTTACGAGTGTAATGGATACAACTATATGTTTTGTTTCCATCCTTGGATGATATTCTATACAACTTTTTTTAGTCATAATTAGAAGTTTAGTGCTCATGGACAAAAATTTTGTTAACAATTCCTTTAAATATTAATGTTTAATGCTTCTATTATAAAAAAAAATGACATTTATTTTCAAAAAAATATTTAGTTTAATAAATATTAGTACAAGTAAAGATATAGCTTGATTCACGTCTAACTCTATCAGGCATCATGTGGCACGTGGGTCTATTATTTAGTTTAATAGGAGTATGAAAAGTAATTATTTATAAAAGACGTGATTAATTTGAGGATGCAACCACGAAAACTTGATCCAAGTCCAACCAAAAAGAGTAGAGAGTCAAGAGTAGTTGTCTAGATTTTTGCAGTCAGAGAGAAACAAAGAGATCGAGAAAAAGAGGTATCGTGGCTTGTCCGGTGCTCCGATTTGATAATTTAAGAGGCAATTATATCACATTCTAAGATTCGTGTTCCATAAAGGTAACTTTGTACTTTCAGGTTAATTTATTTATTATTTAGTATTTCATATTATCATGCAGATCCATTAGGATTAAACTTTTATTACCAATAGAATTATTTTATTTTATTTTAGATAATAGCAAAATTATGGGAAAACTTAAAAGCATTGAATTTTCCTTCAAGAAAAGTGATGGAACTCTATTAGGGGAAAATTTTGATCATTCAACTCCTATAAAACATGCTCCCAAATGTCAAAGAATCCAACCCAGTGATATGGATGCATCTTCTTTGGAACGTAATCGTGGATTACGACCACTGATATGGGAATTTCCTTCAAATCAGAGAGATGAAATTTGTTATGCATATCTCAAAGTCGGCCTATATCAACCAAAGCTAAAAAAATTATCCTCTTTTAGGGCTAGAAAATCATCGTCGTCCACTGAAAAATCAATGCGTGTGTGTGTAAGGGCAGACAACAAAAAATCAGTGATAAACAAAAAAAATTATTTGTAAGTACTCAATAAAAAATAATAGAAGAATTTAAAGGGGAAAATAGTATACTTTTTATTAGGATTGTGTCTATACAATTGACTTTGTTTGATGAATAAAAAACATTCATAGTGATCTAATATATGTTTGAGATGTTGTACAGAGATTATAAGAAGTTAGAATCAAGTTCGATATTGAACAGAGCAAGATGACAAGTCAACTCGATTAACTCCAAAAGGATATTAAGAGTGAAATTCATGTTTGAGAATGAGATTGTGTCCATATCGTTGTCATGGATCCACAAAAATAGATAGGACTCAATTAGGAAATATATAGATCGAGAAATGAATATTTCAGTTTAACAATATTGAAGTAGTTAGCAGCAGGATTTAAACGTATACTAATGTTAAAACTTGCATGATCCATAACTTCAAACTTGGTTATCAGAATCGCTATTATAACTGCTTTTCCAAAAGGTCTCAATTTGATCTATAGATCATCGATAGTACTATCAACCATCAATGATGCAAAGTACATAGAAGTTCAAATTATCAATGATGAACCATAGCCATCAATGATTAAGGTTGATCACCGATAGTTAACTCGTTGATTTTAGAATTCTCGTTTATTTTTAGATTAAATTTCAGCTACTAATTTTTAGGGTATATAGCCTCTTTCCTCACAATTTTCATTAGAGATTCCACAAGTAACAAAGAGAGAGAAAAAAAAGAGGAAGAGAGAAGGTGGAAAGGATC